GAATTATGTCCTCTAGGGGACGTGGACATAAAGGGACGTAAATTTTATATGCTAAATACTTTAGGGACCCATCTTTAGGCACGACCCATCTGTTGTCTAATTGAATTCCATCTCTAGATTTAATGGAATGACCAGTATCTCGCCTACGATAAATAGGGTATCCATTGTCACCTTCCTGAGTACTTTTTTGAAAACTTTTAGAATAATGTTTTTTGCACATACCATCTTTTATACATGGTGCAGTTGGGTTTACTATACCACATGGACCATGCATCATCATGGTTGTTACTGTTTCATAAGCAAGAGGATGCATCTCCGGATCTGGAATTTCAGCGGAAACGATAGAATCGTAATCATCTGTAGATCTTAACTTGTCTTCTGACGCCAGTATTAATAAGATATGCGCATGAGGTAGACCACGTTTTTGAAATTCTATTACATATACGTACGCAATAACTTTACCAAGCCAATAATTACGACATAGATCTTTTAATAATTCCTGTAGTTTTATATGAAACACACGGACTGTTAAATCGGGTCTGTCAATAGCATTCTGATAAGGTAATAATTCCCTAGTAACTTCTGGCCACTTTGGATTACATGTGAAAGTTACAAAAAGATCGGGTTTTCCAAAGTGACTTACGATGGCCATCGCATCTTGGTATAACTGATACATTTGACGTGGCCCACCAGTAAATGATGATGGAAGGATTATGCGACGACCAATGTTGTTGTTGCCATCTTCGGTATGTATTGCATCCGTAATACCTTGGTATAATTCAGTTCGAAGTGATGCCTGATTATATCTAATGTAATTTAAACGATTTTGCTCTATTTTAGCATATTGATCAACAATATACTGTTGATATAAACGGCCTGCGCTCTGTATCCAATCTCCATTTCTAATTTGCAACCTGTAACAGTAATATTGCATTGCTGTTACTTTATCTCTTTTCTTAGCACCTATGAGAGGTATGTCAAAATGCCAACCATCGTCACCTCTTGGAAATAGTAATACATAATGAAGTGGATCATATGATGGACAAAATTCTAATATTCTTTGTAGACCTCCACTGCGCAACCTAAGAAGAATGTCTCGACTGGATGGTTCTATCTCATGACCATCACCAACCATAATTATAGCTACTTCAGAGGCTGTGGGAGGACCATATCGACCAGGATCTTGTGTTCGATCACTATGAATTAACATTGAAATTTCGGTGGTCGCGTTTTCCTGAATGAGGTCCCTTATTTGACGAAAATTTTGAATATATGGATTGCATTCATCTAACGTATCCTGCAGATTCTTTATAATATCTTTATTTAATTCCTGTATAATATTATGCCGATTTTCACCTTCATGCGCAGTATTATAGACATATAGTTAAGCAAATACAGGCGTGTGACCTGCTGGCAGTAATGATCCGATGCGGTGATAGACTTGGCCATAAATCTGGAAATTAGATACTCCTCGTCCTTGAAATTCATTTATATTAGCTCCAAATGACGTGCACGCCAAGATATTATTATAGCCTCTAATGTTTTTGCGAAATGAATCAGCATCAGGTCCAGTTAATGTGTACAGATCCAACAAATATGATGGTGGTTTAGATAAAGGTTGTAAACGAACTTTACCATGAGCACAGCAAATTGCAAATGTTGGAGATCCACGACTACTATTGTGATCCTTTTCGCCTATCCAAAATTTGGCGCTACAATGGATGCATACCTGATCCATCCTCCCCAGTTCATGACGTTCTAGTCTTCGTTTTCGATTAACTTGAGTCTTAGCTTTTCTAGCTTCTGATCCTATAGTATTGGAAACGGTCTCATTTGAAATGGTAAGCTCATTTGATTCTGGCTCATTTGATTCTGACTCATTTGATTCTAACTCATTCAATTCTGGCTCATTCGATTCTGGCACGCTATCTATAGATTCAATACTGCTCTTAATTACGATAGGTTTATCCGATGCTGGTGCATAACCTATATATTCAACACTATGCTTATCTAATTTTGGCACGTAACCTATAGATTCAACACTACTTTTAATCACAATGGAAGGATCTGGCTCTGTTATGTAATCTAGATGTTCAACAGATTCAATGCTAGTCTCATTTACGGTAGGCTTATCCAATTCTTTCGCGTAATTTATATGTTTTTTAATGGATATAACACTATTCTTATTTACGGTTGCTTCTATTATTTCCGCGTGCTCTCCAATTTCCCTTACTATATTATTTATTTTTTGTTTTTTTTTATAATTTTTCTGCCTTTCCCTGGTGAGCAGTCTCTTTCGACACTGTTCAGATATTTTATTAAGGTTTTGCCTATGCATTATTAGAGTATCGATAAAAGGTTCCTGGAAGTATCCTCTGTCACGCGAATCTAATATCATGTGATCGTAATGAATGATTGGGCAAAGGTACCCACCTAGAAGAAATAATGGATAGCATGTTTTTACAGAAAACCCGAAACGATCTCTCAGAAGAATCGATTTTAGGGTATCTTTATTAATGTAAAATCAAATCTCTATTATTATAGAAAAAGCTTTTTATTATTATGTCCTACTGATAAATAATTTATTAACTTATATTCGATACTTATAAAGGAGTAGTTTTCTGTTCCGCGCACTATAGTAATGACATAATTCACCGTTAATTTAAGTCCTCGAGCAGTTCTTCAATTCTATCTATAGTACGGTAAGTATTTGACCAATTATTTATATATACATTAAATTAAATAATACATTAAGTAATTAACTATCTTATTTTCATCTATCATTTAGTAAGTTTCTTCTACGTATTATATTATATCAATAGGTATAACTAATATCACATTTAAACCGCAGGTAGTTCACTATCTTAATTAAATCACAAGTAACAATTATAATTAGTTTCTATTATCTGTATAATTTTACGAAGATTAATAGTACAAATTTCTTACAATAAGTTATGGGGTTCCTACGCGATTTGAACGAATCCGATTATATGATCTAGAACACCCGAGGGGAAACGACCTCCACTCTCACCAGCTAGTGCGTAGTAGCTAGCTACTCGGGTTTGTCAATACGTCACGTAAAATGTCTCGGGACCGAAACGTATTCTAGCCCTTGAACTCAATCATCTCACTCAGTGGCAACAAACATATACTTAAAAACCGGAAAGATATTATCGAGCTTGAGCGTTATTCACCGCCAATAATTTCAAAGCTCTTTTGTCAAACCATGCTCCCTTCTCTTATCACGCGTAAAATACTTAGTCTTTGCTCTAAAATTCAAAAAGCTAAGCAACGACTAAAATGTATTTTTTTGAAGAATTTTTCTATTTCCTGAGCCTGTAATAGTAGAAATGATTCGACTAAAAATTCATTTCCACAATAGAGAAATCTAAATACCTGTGGACACAATTTCATTGAGATAATCAAAATAGTCCTCCAAATGCCTGATCTGTCGTTCGTTTCTTCTTATTGGTCTGGTATGCACTTTCTAGTTCCGGTAAATTTGAGCATAACCGATCCTAATATTTCGTGGTTTTGCCTAAGTAATACAAAGAAGATCCTCAAAGCTTTTGATTGCGTAGTCGACTCGACCCGTAGATTCTTCACCTGATATATCCTTCTGCAAGGTGGTAAAAATATCTTCGGTAGTACGTTTTTTAGCTATATCAATTGATGCATGCAGGATAGCCGAAATGAATTCACTGCGGGTCGCTTCGTTGACATCAGTCATAGTTTTCACATTCGACAATTTTAGTCCATACAATAATCGAAGGCCTTATCTTTATCATCTATCTCTTTGGGTACTAATGAATAAAATTAATTAATTATCGTATTACGAAAATGTAAATAAATGAAAAAAGATCTTAAGAAAATTATATTCATATTTAAAAAGAAATATCTACCTTATGATTATTACGGAGGGGAGAATACTGTGAGTGGATGTTAATTCTCCTATAGAACTTGATTAAATCACAATTTATGATCAAAATCAGTTTCTATTATCCGCATAATTTTACAAAGATTAATGATACAAATTTCTCATAATAAGTCAAGGGGTTCCTACGCGATTTAAACGAATCCGATTAAATAATCTAATGTGAATAAATGAAAATAAAAATCTTAATAAAATTATTTTCATATCTATCTTATGATTATTACGAAGGGGAGGGTACTGTGAGCGGATGTTAATTCTCTTATAGAATAAATCTAGTCGTATACAGGTAACCTTCAGTATAACGATTTTTCCTATAAAGAAGTTTCGAAAAGGTGTAAAGAATTTTGTTATAATTAATTTCTTTTAAAAAGAGATTGAACGAAGTAAAAGACATAGACTAATTCTTTATTACTGTCATATAAACCTTACTATATATGCCGGAAAAAATAGATCGCGGTTCAATAAAGACACATCTTTGGTCATTTTGTCTATAATATCAAGAATAGTAATACTTTTTTTATGAATCACGAAATTTTATTTTGATTTGATAATTATATAATGAGTACAATTTATTTATATAGGATAAACTAAACGTCAGCATTACACACAAAGGTTACACACATTTATTTTTAATATATGTAATTGATAATTGATATAGTTTGGAAAAGTTCAAATATCTTAAAATAGAAAAAATAATTAATAGTTATTTAAGAATTTCAAAGGCTTACTATTGATAGTTAAAAAATTTTTGATAAATTTTCAATAATAAAAAACCAATTTTAAAAATTCTTATAATTTTTTAATATTATTTAATTTAAAAAATTTCTTTACTTTATTATTTTTTTGTTATTAGACTTAATATTATTATAGTTAATTATATAATCTAATAGTTTGATTTAATACTTGCCAGAAAAAAAAAAGATATTTTTCAATATTAATTTTTAAATTTATTTGTTTTAGAATATTTAAATAGTTATTATATAGTAACAATATAAATCGAAAAAATATTAAACTAATATTGAAATAATATTAAAATAATATTAATTTATAGTAAATTTAATATATAGATTATGATATAAGATTTATAATAAAATTAAATATAAACTAATATTGAAATAATATTATTAGAGCATCTACCGAAGCTCTCATATCCTCTTACAATCATATTTGGAAACCTCGATGCAGCACAGCAAACACTTCACCCACCGTAGGCATCAAATGGAATGAAAATCTCAAAAAAAAGAAAAGCAGTAATAATAACAACACCACCAACAGTAACAATAATACAAACACTGTCAGCGCAAATACCCTCTCCAGCAATAATAGTGATGCCAACAAAAGAAGAACACAAAGAAACAACTCATCTTCCAATGACGACATTCCACTCTTAACCCCTGAAATCACTATAGTCGATATTCCAACCTGTGTCACAGAAACATTTATTCAAAGCAAATTTAATTACCCCAAATGTATATATAATCTTATCTCTAACTATCGTAACATTATTTCACAAAACTCTGAGTAGGTATCCACAGCTGCTCGGCATCATTTAATTAGTACACTAGTTTAAAATGTCTTTTCTAGTAGAAGTTAAGTGATTACTGTAGGCAAGCTAGCATTTAACTCACTGTAAATTACATGTGAGAGATGTTGTTTCTTTCCATAATGTATACCTTGTTATATACAAATAAATAAAGAAATGGTGTTTACCTACGTTAAAAAAAAAAAAAAATAAATTTGTTTTTTATATTGTTATTAATATATATTCTAATTATTATTTTATTTTATTAAATATTTATCAAATTATAATATAATTATAATTAGTTTAGACTTTTTAACAAATTGTATATAAAATTATGAATTTCAAGACTTTTGTTTGATTCTGTATCTTATTTACATCTATTTTTTAATAAAATTATAATAATGACAATTTATTTAATTTTGAATATAGCTATACTAATTTATAGATAATTAATTTGATTTGAAAAAAATAATTTTTATAATATATAATATATTAAACAAAAATATTCTATATAAAATATTCTAATCAATATATACTAATTATAATAAAAATTATTATAATTAATTTATTAAACTAGTTTATCTCAGCTTAATAATTATACTGAAGAGTTTGCTAATTAATTTTCAGATAATAAGATAAAAAACAGATTTAAAAAGCTAAAGATTAAACTAAAAGATATCTTCAACAGTTAAAATTAAGTAAAGAGCAAGCTAATACTTATATTCTTATTTGATCTCCTAACAGATATGTTAAGAAAAGAGATCCTATTTAAATAATTGCTTGAGATATTATAAAAATAAATTTTTTACCTAAAGGAATAAATGAAATAACACATGACTTGACTTCTTCTGCTTTTACTATTATTGTAGAAAATTCTTGTCTTAATTTATTATGAAAAGAATTGTATAGCTTAGGATCTGACTATTTTATTAACAAGGTAATAAAAATATATTTTATTACTGAAGAAAAAAATTAGATTTAAACAAGAAAACATATATTTTGTAGAATTAATAATTTTTATTATATTGAATTCTTTTATTTGAAAAAGGTTCAGGAAAAACTTAATTAATATGATATTAACAGATTTTCATTGATGTAAAATCTAATAGCTATAATGATAATGCTATATATACAGTACAATTGATAAATGTAAAAACTCTTCATATCAATTGATACAGATCAAGTTGCAAATTATAATATAATTCTGACTATTCTTTGTATTGCATTAGTTATATGAAAAATAAAAGAGAAATAGAAGAACTTAGCCATTTCTCTAAATAGAAAAAAATTTAATAAAGCAAAAGAATTGCTTATAAGGATTTAGAATAAATACCAGATAAATTTTCTTTCTTGTTAAAAGATAAGGATGGAAATACTAATGCTGTACCACTTAATCAATTCTTGAGTCATCATAGAATTATCTCATATATGTTAAAAAAAATAGGAGCCAATTATGCTTTCAGAGTACATGGAGATAGGAATAATATTGGCTATCAATAATTATAATATTGGCATGTAGGTATAAGATAGGCCATACTTCATCAATCATACATTATGGTGTGATAAATGATAGACCAATTATTTCAACGACTAGAGAGAGTGGAGCTCATTGTTTTACAATAGAAAATTCTAAGATATCAGATATTATAGACTTATATAATTACTAATTACGCTTCTTTGCTCTCATCACATATATAGTCATTTTATTATTGAATCAGATTCAAACTCAGATGTGGATGTTGTTTCAGATACAATATCATTAAAAATTATCTTTTTTTAGCCTTATATGATGTATGATTTCTTCAAGAAATATCTGGGTTTATTATTTGTATTTAAATTTCTTGATGAACCTTGGATTTTACTATCTCCAGTAATCGATGAATAGAGATTCAGATTTTTTTATCTGCCACTTGCTTAACAATACTGGATACCACTCTCTTAA